CAACAACCATCTCTGACACCGCAGGTTCTTTTTCTTGTTTTTGTTTCAGCCTGGTGTTCTACGTCGACCATCATCTTCGGAAGCTAGGTTTTCCCCCTGAGACCTCAGAGAGAGACAACCTGTTTCACCCTGCACAACGAAAAAACTAGTTTGTGCCTTCAGCAGCCTTTTTTGCTCATCAACTTTGATTATACTTGGACCCAGCCAGGTTTTGTTAACTTGTTCAGCGACATTCTCACATTGCCTTTGCGTGACACAACTCCTTTCAGTATTGGACCTCTAACTATGTCTGACAGTTTCATGACTGTTTGACACTGCCATTTGGAGGCCACTATGCACTGATTGACACCGTTTCTTGACCTTTTCTTCCCGCGCCCTTCAGCTTGCTCAAACCAACAACCCGTGATCTTCGCCTCAACGATCCAGTGACACTTCGACCAGCCACCATGGACGCGCAGTGGCAACAATATTACTGGAATCATTACTTGCTTCAACAGCAGCATCATCAGCAGCTTGCCAACCCAGACACAACGGTTTCACCTCCCACTGCAACTCACCACACCTACAACCCTACCGGCACTTATGGCCCACTCACTCACGCACTCCGCACGCATCAAGCCCACCACTCTCATCCATACACGACTTCACCTTACACACCGCCACCGCAGCACACACCGCCACAACAGGCACCACCGTCACAGCCGGAGTTCCCACCTCCACCGCCACCACCACTCCCCACAGCCGACCCAGTCACTCCACCACCAGCATCGACCTACAAGCGCAGCCCACCACCACCGCCAGCTGCCCGCGCCGGCGCTGCACCTGCTCCACCGCCACCTCACATCCCATCCCCCACTCCACCCATCCAAGACTCTTGGAACCAAACAGACCACCATTGGGATTCCAACGCCTTGCACGGCCACCAACTATACCGTACAATCCAACCCACACAGTGGTCTCGAAAAGCAGGGGTGGCAGGGCTTCCGACCTTCGACATCTTCCCATGGCAACTGGCGTACCATGGTACCTCCGAATTTACCGCCCGCACTCTTAGCAATGGAAAATACACTGGTTTCATTGCCACCAGAAGTATTGCGGAGTCAGTTTTCGCGACCCACCTTCTCCAAGAGCTCCGCGAGAAACGCCTCGACTTAGACGGCATCGCCGAGACTCTCCACACCAAACAGGGCACTGACATCATTAGCAAGACAACACAGGCCCGAGCCTTCCACGCTCCCCTGATCAAACTACTTATCCAACAACTCCAAACTCACTCCCCGGCACCAGCGGAAGGCACCGCTCTACGCGCCCTCAAGAACACCACCGACGAGCTGGCCCGAGCACGCCAGAAGCTCCACGACTTGGGCGACCCACTCACTCCAGTGAAGACCACCAGCCACCCCTCAGCACCGGCCGCCCCATCACATGAGCCCACCCCACCACCACCAAAACCGCCAGCCCTTTCAGACGTCCTGCAACCTCCACACCCAACATTGCAGGATGGTATCCCAGACAGTTGGAATCACCCCGATATCCAACACTGGGTCACCACCTTCGACCCTACCGTCCAGGAAGCCGCCAATGAGGTCGTGCGCTTGCTGCAAACGAGTAAAGTCACTACTCAGCAGCTCAAGGACGCAGCCACACGTTACGGCCTGCCGCTCAACCGGGTCAATCGTTTGCCAATCCGGAGCTTGCAACAGCTTGTGAGTGTGGGGGCAGCCATCGGCTGCTGACTCGCTACCCTCGCCCAGCAGCAACCCAGCCACACCAACCTCAACCACCTGTTCCACTTACACCGAGCACTCTCCGTACTGATCCACCACACCCAATACATCGACCGCGCCGAAGCCATCTTTGCCACTGGCCTTATCCACATCACACTCCTTTTCGCATATCCTTCCAACACCCGTCGCTCACAACAATGGCGCAACCGTCTCCGCCAGCTCCACATCCTACCCCACACATACCACTACCACAACTTCCTCTCCTCCAATTCAGTTTACATCAACCTCCACTTCAATCCTGACCAACCTCAACGCTGCTACCATCAACATGGCCACTTCTATGTGGGCTCCACAGCCATTGGCATTCCCCACCGCGAGCACAACCGCCGTGCCAAACTCAAACAACTCCAGAACAATATCCCCATTTCTGCAGAACTCTCCCTACGCTATTGGCACTCACACAACAACATCCACCACTACACTACCATTCAACTTACATCCCACGACACATACGACCAAGCTTGGATACAAGAACACCACTACATCGCAAACTGGATGCCTACACTCAACTGGCCCTTTATCTCCCACCACCTCAAGCTCAAAGCTCAAGGCTGGCAGTTTACCAAACACAGAGCCCATGTCTACTCCAGATTAGCAACCCACAAACGACTCTTTCGACGCCTGCGGCAACGCCAGTACACACTCAGAGAACCACACCTTTACACCTCCACCAAGCATCACGCCCTCCAACTTCTCCGCAACCTTACCAAACACACAGCAGCCTCTTTTGAAGCAGCCAAAGCGCTACGAAGCGGCCGTCACACGGATCTTGAAGTCTACGCCATCCGGCGTATGGCCGCCAACCTTGAGGAACCCGGCCGCAGCAGAGCTCTTCACATCATCAACAAAGCCCTCCTATACCGCAACCTCACGCCGCCAAAACCAAATATTCCACTGACAGTGCCAAAACACTGCCAACAGTGGCTCCGTACTACCATTCAGCAGCACAAGCACTTGACCATTCCCCTTCACCTCCCCTCCCACCGACTGCGCGAAGCCGCACGCAAAACCCTACGTTCCCACCTACATAACCACCGCGCATGGGAGGACACCCTCCACTCCCCGCCAGATCCAGCAGACCTCCCCTGCGCATGCGACCATCTTCGTACTCTCCTGCAGGATCCTGACACACCCACCACCAACGGCCACTACATTCTTACACTTGATCAACTCCAACTTCCCACACATCTTGGCATCTTTCTCAACGCCAACATGAACAGCACCTACTACCCAAGCAAGGCCCGATACTTCCTCACGTTCCGGACGGCCTACACGAAATGGCTCAAGCTACAAGGGCTCCCACCATCCCTCGTACAACACTTGCAGCCATTCCTCGAGCACCAATGGCGCCTCCACAACATGCACCTCAAGCAGCAACCCCGTTTTACGGCTCGCCTGCTTCGCCAACTCCAAGAATACCTCGGCCAACACACAGTGCTTCACCATGCCGACCATGAACTACAACAACTCCGGCTGTTCTGCCCCCGCCAATATTTCACTGGCGCCTTGAATACATGGCAATCCCCCGAACTTTTCGAACCACTTCCCCACCTCACTGCCGCCAACATCCACGACCACCTGGCAGCCACTGTTCCCCCCATTTTGCGCACCCGCTACAAATGGGGCTTCCGCAAAGATTTCAACATTCCCTACGGCGTCGTCCACCTCAAAGAAAAGAAGCAATGGCAGAAAGGCCGCACCATTATCTCATACTTCCAGTCACTCAGTGGCAATCTACTCCGCATCACCAGCCGTGCCCTTGACATTATCCTTCAACACCTTTACCCCCAACATCCCGGCCAAATGTCTATTCCCCAACTTTGGCGCCATTTCCACAGCTACCTCACCCAAACCCCACCAGACATCTCATTGCACGCCACCAACGATGACCTGGTCGGCTTCTTTAACTCGGTCCCACAACACCGGCTCATCGATGCCGTTCACTCTCTCATTCACCACTGGCAACAGCAATCCACACACACCCTGACGGTGGATGTCCAGGCTACCGGCAACCCTTTTCACCACTCTCACATTGGCAGACACCATCGAAAACACCCTACACAACGCACCATCCAGACATCAGATATCACCACCATCGTGGCCTTTGCCCTCAACACATGCATTTTCCGGGCTTGCAACAACACTTACAAGCAAATCCGAGGAGCTGGGATTGGATCCCAGCTTTCTCCAGCCCTCTGCAATGTCGCCATCACCCTCATAGAACATTCCTGGCATCAGATCCACAACAACTTACTTCAACACACTGACCTACACTTCACTTACTATCGATATGTCGACAACCGTTTCATTGTCCACAACGAACATTTCCTCCACCATCCAGCCATTCAAACCCTCATCCACCACAACTTCTTTGGCGACCCAGTGGAACTCGAACCGGTGGAGGACTTCCATCTCCTAGGTTTCAACATCGACCTCCCACAACGCACCATCACCTACATGCAACCTTCCCAACCCTGGAAAATCAGGGATTCCACCACCGCCGGGAGCCAGCGCTTGGCTCTGTCAGGCCTCCAATCAAGACTCCACACCATTCGAAAATACACATTTCCACCCTCCAGCGCTGAAGCTGCTGCTGCCGAGCTAGTGAGGCTCTATGTCCAAAAAGGACACAACCATCACGCCTGCCACCGTTTTTTGAAAAAAGCGCCGAAGACGGCGACCTGTGTGTGTCCACCCCTGGACAAAGGGTTTTCCACCGCCACTTCCTTCACCGATTTTCCACGAACTTTCACATGCACGGGCGTGTGGCACTCTCGCCCTACCACACGCAACGAAGCTGTGGGCGAGAGTGGGAAGCAGGGCCTGATCAGCCCTGCGTACCTGCCGTTCTATCAAGCTGTGACTCCACTCTCCACGTTTTTGATTCATGGTTCTTCACGTTTCCACCCCCAAACCTTTTCCTGCCGCAGACGTGCAGCCGCGTTTGATCGTTTTGCAGCCGCATTTGAACGTGTGAGTGCACTTGTGAACAATGTTGAACAATACTTTTCAGTGGACTTTGCCACCTTGCCGTTCCCTCGCCTTCCTTCCCATCGGAGTAATTGAGTTAACTGAAAACCAGTGTCAGAGTGTGTGTCAAAAGCAGCGGTACCTATATCGACCTGTATATGAATGGAGCTTAGCAATTAGTAGGGGCCTTGGACTCCCAAGAATGCTCTTTACGCCCTTGGTGGCCTTGCTGTTCCATTTCAGGCGCGCCGAGCACCAAGAAGCCACCGGTCCGGAACTTGCGGCGAGCAGCCTCGGCACCAGAGGGTCCTAAGCCAAAGCGGGCGCTGGTGCAGACGCGCCGGGAGTCTTGGGGTTGGCAAAGCCAGAGAGTGCGGCATGCATGTAGGATTCACCTTGTTTGGTGTGCATGTTACAGTCTCGGAACAAATATAGTTAGCTACTACGAATAATATATAGTTTGTTATATATTATATATATACACATACACACTACGTATCATTCATTGGTTGCTGGGCAGGCCAGGATAGGTTTGAGTTGCCAAACAGAGGCAGGGCACTGACTCCTTAAGGTATATTGATGCGTGGGAAGAGTTTGGACGATTGGGATAACCTAACAGCGAAGCTCATGAGGGTGACTTTCGCACACACCAATGTAGGCATTTCACCATGGCCGCAACATATCCTTCATGCTTCTTGGCTCGAAAACTTCAGCATCATGGAGACACGGATTTTGGATCCCCGCCAACGCCCTGCAGGCGCGAAGGATGTCGTTTGGAAGGGTATATCGAATGTTTCAAAAGGGCAACCGCATCAAGTTGCGCAGGAGAGATGAGGTGGTGGTTGAAATACATGTTGAAATGACTGATGTCTCTTGTTTTCTCATATTTTCTCTTGATGCTTTCTGTTCCGGGCCAAAAATGGCTGAACACAGCTTGCACCCATGCTGTTCGGCACTCAATCCCAAGAGTGGGCGGCGGGCAGACTGCTTTCAAAAGACCCTTGGGCGCTTTCACTTCCAGAAATACATACGTAGAACTAGAAGTAAATAAACTTAAATGGATCCTCGTTGACGTCAGGCGAGCATTTGGAGCCTCGTCGACCAAAGGATCCCAAATGGCGTGCACAGCATGGGGACCTGCGAGCAGATTTGGGGCCCATGCATCTCGCCTCCTGGGGAGGAAGCTACTATGAACAAGTGCCTTACTACTAGAAACTAGTGCCTTACTAGTAGTAACAAGAAGCTATTAGAAACAAGTGCCTTACTACTAGTAACAATAAGAATTTAATTGGAATTGTAACCCATGCATCTCGCCTCCTGGGGAGGAAGCGTCGATGTGGACGATGGGACGCGCGGTCCCCCGCGATGGGAGCGTTTGGCCGGGACAAGCGACGAGCGCCTCCGTCCATACACAGGGTTGGTTGAAGACTTTCAACTTTCGATCTAAACATTGCACTCAATTATTGGTGCTTTGTATCCAACTGCGATTCTCACAAACGGTCCTTTAATCGACCTTCCCAATTTGGAGATCAGATTTGGCCGAGCCTGGTGGTACCAGCCCTCAGGACAATCCACACCATTGGGTCATTGGATTTTTGCTTGCTTGAGTGTGACATTTGAGCCATGTCAAAACAAGAACTGCAATCGTTGCTTTTGGTAGATTCTTTCAACACAACCCTAAGACTTACCCTGTCAACCAACCAGTGCCTGTCCTTGTAGAGTAACAGCAGTTGACTGCCATCTGTGGCCGTCTCGAAACCGCTCCTAGCAGAGCCTAACAGAGAAAATCGGCCACGCCAAGACCGCCATTGGTCTTCCCAGGTACCCCATCATCAACATTTGCTACCCTGATGGAGCTGCTGCCGTGCAATGCCAGGAATCGCTGCCATCAAAACTACCACAGACCGCCACCAAGTAGTTCTGGGTTTGGAGTTGTCCAGCTTGTGTTGCAAAACGATTGCCGTCTGTGTTGGGCTTCGCATGTTCAGTGCTTGTGATTCGTGTGGGGTGGACCTGTCTCAGGCGGATGGTGCTGGGGTAGCTACCTACCCATCTGGTCGAAAAGCTGTATGCGTCTTGCCACACCACCAGTTGCCAGCTGCACTTGGGTGGTTTTTCTATTTTGGATGATCCAACATCAGCTACTTCAAACCATTCTGCATTCCCTTGATGCCTATTGTTCGAGAGAATGAGCTTGCAGCTTCCATATATATATATATATCATATAGATGTAGTTTCAATGCATGTAGCAGCAGCTGTCGTGTTTGTTCGCAACAGATTTCTGCCGCAGAGGTAAAACCCCTGCTCGCAGCTTGCTAGACTTGGATGATGTAACGTCTAAGAAAGCTACTCTAAGGCCTGCCTCTTTGGGACAAAAAAGCGGATCTAATTTGTGTGCCAAAATTTTTAACAGGTGGCACTGGTGGTGTTTCGGTTCTGAGGTCTCGCCGCTTCAGTGCCTTGATCTATGCACGCTCCGAGATCCACGTGCGCTCCGCGGTACCGGATGAGCTGCGCCCAGCGCATCAGCCGCCACACCCCGACGATGCGAAACGGCGGGGACGGCGGGGGGTGGGTGGGATGAAAGAGACTGGACTGAAAAAAGAAGGCTCCGGGCCCTGTGGAAGAAGCATGGAAGAGCACCAAACGTTGGTCGTGAGAGATCATCAGTGCGGCTCAAAAAGCACCTATGAACTGGCAGGTCGTGATGTTGTCTATGTATACATGTCCATATATCAGAGGCTTTGTTACTTTTGAGCGTGTCGGCCTTCGACGGGACTGTTGTTGCGAATTGTGCAAAGAACTCAGGCGGCGCACGCGACATCTGGGAGCGCTGGACGAATGGGGTCTGGGCTTGTTGGAGTCCTTGCCAGATGGCGCTGGAGGGCGAGGGAGCTATGAGGTCACGGCCAGCCATGTGACCGCCACCGGGCGAAAGAGGATGTGGCACTGTGGAACTGGACGGAACTAGATAAGGGGGCCAAAGATGGACTAAGATGACCAATGCGGTTATACTGCAATTGTTCTTGACTGTAGACTCTAGACCACCAGCTTTCTTGTTGTTGTTTTGTTCTTGGCTACCAATATGACTGCATGCTTCAGATGGTCATTTGTCTTCTTTGGTCTTCAGCTGGTCTGGGTACATTCGCGGCACTGATGTCTTCTCATTTGACTGTGAGCCGGCCAAAGGACGTGTGTGATGTCGAAAATAAAGCGAGACCCAGGAGTGCCCGTGTCAGTTCATTTAACACCTGCCAGGGTTCTCATGCGGTGCCCCTGGAGGTGTCCTCCAGCTCCTGATGTTTTTTGGTTTCACCACGAATTATGGGTGTCTTGGGTTTGATCGACACTGGGTCTCCCTCCTTGGGCCGCCACACCACACCATCAGTCACATTTGCAGTAGTCGTCACTGCATTCCATTTGTTTGGGCCTTTTGCGAGAATACGCTTTGAGGTTTGACATAATCTTCCAGGTTTTCCATAGCTTGGCTCAAAAGCATTTTTTTTGTTTATTTCACTCATCTGCACACTGTTCACCGTTCCAACTCGCTCGACCCAAAGCCCTTTAACTCGCACCGTCCAGGTGAGTGCAGCCGGTAGCCGTGTCCGTGTGTCGCGGAAGCTGGGTGCGATGGGTGAGAACGAAGCTTTGTCTCTGCGGCTGACACCAGAGCTGGTGGCCTCCTACCATGCCGCTACGGGTGCCTAAGCGATGATGGGAATCGGCATGTGCTCATCCAGTGGAAGAGGATGATTATATAGAAGGCGACGAAGCAAAGAAGATCGTTCTTTTGCTTCAAATTGTTTCAGGGCTCTTGAGTGTTGCAGTTACTGTGGTCCAATTCCCATTCGTACTGATCGGTGTTTTCCATTTTTGTACGACTCCTGTCATCTCAATAGAGCCTCCAATGTAATTGAACGCCGAGGCACAACAATCTTGGATTTCAGCTGTGACGGCGGGGTGCTTGCAGAGGGGGTTGGGCATTTCGGTGAACCATGCTTTGGTGCACAACATTCTGCAGAGGAGCCCACAAATGGATTGCTACACTCCCTCAAATAGTCATGGAAGTGGAAAATGGTCCCCCTGATGACTATTTTCCTCTACAAACAGGTGGCTTTCCACTTCCATGACTGTTTGAAGTGGGCGTCCGCCTTGCAAAGTTCTGGCACCTTCATGCGGTATTTTGGGATTTTTAGGCAAGACGGAGGACAGGGGTAGAAGAATCACTTCACCTTGAATGAGGGACATGGATGGGCATTGAATCTTGAGACTTGAGACTTGACGGCTTCAGGGGTACACAGGTACACCCTTTGCATGTGTTGACAGGAACAAATTGGACGCTGGTAATTTTTGAGATGGCTGTCAACCCTCATCTAGTCCAAGCTGACCAACGATGCCCGGGTGCCTGCATCAGCTGTCAGGGGTGTCATACAGCTTCCACATCGGTGAGGCCGGGGCTGTGAATAGACGAGGATAGACTGAAGCACTTAGCAGTCCTACAGGCTTCAGTCCAGCCTGGCATAGGGAATCCTGGTAGACCAGTCTAGCAGTTTAGGGTGTTCTTTCCTCTGCGAGGTCTGGCACTTAGTGAACTCAATTGCCATGCTAATGTGCTACGAACCTTGTGCTTGGGATCGGCTTCATTGCTCTTGGAAATCTGAAATGCTTGTTCTTTTTTGATAGCAAAACAGCGGGAGGCGAGGGCAAAACAAGATCATGCAAAGCACATGAGCAAGCCCCAAAACCTCCCAAGATGAACTAAGTAAAGGCCTTGTCATATATGGAAAGCAAAAACCTGAAAAGCGTAAGGTTGCGTAAGTGAGTTGTCATACATGCATGTTGCTTAAGCTTGCCATATAGTTGTGTTTTCATTAGTAGATTCTTAGCACACACCTTGTCAAGAACGGAACCGCATGGACCATGAGAGCCCGCTCATGTGTTTGTTGCCCGCTCACCCGCAAAAAGGAGTCTTCGCGTATTCATTTCCCTTGGGAGCATGGTTCTCATTTGTGAAAATGCAGATGCGTAAGATCTGTGTAAGATTGTGTAAGGTCTTCTTCAACATCCGTGGCGCGTAAGTTCGCGTAAGAAGAGCGTCAGCAGGAGCGTAAGAAAGTTATACGACATAGGGGTTTAATCATACGTATTTGGCCCAGCTCACATAGTGATGACCCCTGCCATCATCTGCCATCAGTTAAAGAGCTGTCCGGGATCGAGGTGTGGAAGCTTGGAGATCGTGGCCTGAAAGCAGCCTGATTGCAGCGAGCGGTGGTGTACTGGTCTAGCGCATAGGTCTAGAGTCTAGCTGCTTAAGCAAACTCCTGCACAACTCAAAGTAA